TACCACATGAACAGAAAAAGCCAGAAGTGGTGCTGTGGCTCAAATGGCATAGTGCTAGCCTTGAGCAAAAGAAGCTTAGGGGGGCTGGGAAGGTAGAGCGCTTGCCTTGCATGCATGAGGCCCTGGGTTCGATTCCTCAGCACCACATAAGCAGAAAAAGCCGGAAGTGGTGCTGTAACTCAAGTAGTAGAGCGCTAGTCTTGAGCTGAAGAGCTGAGGAGCAGTGTCCAGGCCCAGAGTTCAGGCCCCACAACTGGCAAAAAAAAAAAAAGAAGCTTAGAGACAGTGCCCAGGCCCCGAGTTCAAGCCCTGGCACTGGTAACACCAAAAAAATAAAAATCATCATCATTGAGGTGACCTGACCTGCCTTCCATCTGGTGAAAATGTATTCATTCTCCTGGGGTTGGAGACATGGTTCAGGTGGTAGAGCAGCAGCCAATGAGCAAAAATATCCCCATCTTGGACAAAAACACAAAACAAAAATTATTCTTTCCTAATAACCATTCCTGTCACTTTCATCTTTCAATAAGTTCAGGACTCCCTTGACTTCCTCTCCTCAGAACACAAGGACCAGAGTTGATTAGCTGCTAACTTCCAGCACCAGCTATGATTACAAGTGTGCACTACCCTGCCTAGCTCCTTGGTCTTTTTTGTTCCAATAGTTTTTTTTTTTTTGGTCATGGGGCCTGAACTCTGGGCCTGGGCACTGTCCCTGAGCTCTTCAGCTCAAGGCTAGCACTCTACTACTTGAGCCACAGCACCACCGATTTTCTGGAGATAAAGAGTTTCATGGAGTTTCTTGCCAGGGGGCTGGCTTTGAACTGTGATCCTCAGATCTCAACCTCCTGAGTAGCTAGGATTACAGGTGTGAGCCAACGGCACCTGGATGTTCCAATAATTTTGCTTTTTATAGAATATCAAATAAATAGAAGCAAATAATATGAAGGCTTTTGGGTGAGGGGGTCTAGGTTTTTTTTGTGTTTTTTTGGGGGGGGTTCGGGCGTGGGGCCTGAACTCTGGGCCTGGGCGCTGTTCCTCAGCTCTTCAGCTCAAGGCTAGTGCTCTACCACTTGAGCCACAGCGCCACTTCCAGCTTTTTTCCTTTTGCTTATGTGGTGCTGAGGAATTGAACCCAGGGCCTCATGCATGCAAGGCAAGCACTCTACCACTGAGCCACCTTCCCAGCCCCCTAGGTTTTTGTTTTTTTTTTGTCATTCATGGGGCCTGAACTCTGAATCTGGGCACTGTCCCTCAGCTCTTCAGCTCCAGGCTAGCTCCCTACCACTTGAGCCACAGTGCCACTTCTGGCTTTTTCTGCTTATGTGGTGCTAAGGAATCAAATCCAGGGCCTCATGCATGCAAGGCAAGCACTCTACCACTGAGCCCTGAGCCATCTTCCCAGCCCCGCCCTCCCCCCCTTTTTAAAACAAGATAGAAGTAATAAGAGTCATCTGGTGGCTCATGTCAAACTGAGGTCTGAAGATCACAGTTCAAAGACAGCCCAAGGAGGGAAGTCTGTGAGACTTTTATCTCCAATTAAACACCAAAAAGGCCAGAAGTGAAGCTGTAGCTCAAGTGGTACACCAATAGCCTTGAGCAAAAAAGCTGAGATAGCATCCAGGTCCTGAATTCAAGCTCCAGGACTAGCATACACACAAAACAGTCATCTACTTGTCTCATGAGGGCTGAGACCCTCAGTTGAAATCCCAATCCCAGCAGAGAAAGGAAAGAAAATATCAGCTGGGTTTGGTGGTAATCTCACCACTTTGGAGGTTGAAAATAACTCAAGTTTAAAACCAGCCCAAGCAATGATGGAGACACTGATTTTTTTGTTGTTGTTGTTGTTGGTGGTGGTGGTGGTATTGGTCGTGGGGCTTGAATTCTGGGTCTGGGCACTGTCCCTCAGCTCTTCAGCTCATGGCTAGGGCTGTACCACTTGAACCACAGTACCACTTCCAACTTTTTCTGCTTAGGTGGTTCTGAGGAATCAAACCCATACATGCTAGGCAAGCACTCTACCAAGCCACAATCCCAGGCCCCATTTCCATTCTCTCCTTGTTAGCAAAATGAGCTCCTTTCCCATAGCTAAATATACTCCTTCCCTTCTCCACAGCTTAGCATCCTCCCTTCCTGGACAACACTAGGCCCATGTAGTAAAGGCAGTAAATAATCAACTTCCAGCCCCCTCTACCTTGGGATGGCACTTCTCTGGGGCAGCTACCACCATATAAAGCAACAAAAGCCCCTTAGAGAAACCTTCAGGTCTAGGCAGCTGCAGGACCCTCATCTACCATTTGGTCAGCAGCCATCAATCCTAATCCACCATGATGAAGCCCCTGGCCCACACGTTCACACTGGGGTCTCCACCTCCTAGCCCCTTCTAGCTCCTCCTAAGCCTCCTAGGTTATATAAGTCACCTCAGACAATTGCAGGTGCTTCTTCTCACTTCTCCCTGGGAGGAGTCTTGCCACGCCCCCTCTCCCGGCAATAAACCTTTCTTTGTTCTCTGGATCCGTGTGGTTCTCTGGCAAAGTCTAATAATCTTTCATTCCTAGTTCCTCGAGTCTGTCTCTACCCATGAGTTATATAATTCACTTTTCATCAATATCCAGTGTGTCTTAAAAACCAAAGGCCAAGGCCGGGTACTGGTGGCTCATGTCTACAATCCTAGCAACTCAGGAAGCTAAGATCTGAGATCATGGTTTCAAAGCCCTATCTCTAATTAAGCACCTACAAACAGGAAGTGGGGCTGTGGCTCAAAGTGGTAGACAGCTAGCCTTGGGCAAAAGAGCTCAGAGTCAGCACCTAGGCCTGGATTTCTGCCCCAATACAAAACAAACAAACAAAAGAAGGCCTGGCATCAATGAATGACTCATGCCTGTAATCCTATGTATTCAGGAGACTGAGATCTGAGGTTGGCAGTTTGAAGCAGCAGCCAGGGAGATTCTTAAATGAAATTAACCAGCACATACAGTGCAAGTGGTAGTGCACCATTCTTGAGTGAAAAAACTAAGCAAGAGCATGATAACCTGAGTTCAAGGCCCAGTTTTATTTATTTCGTTTTTACTTTTTTTTGGTCAGTCATGGGGCTTGAACTCTGGGCCTGGGTGCTGTCCCTCAGCTTTTCAGCTCAAGGTAAGCACTATACGGCTTGAGCCACAGCAGCATTTCTGGTTTTCTGGTGGTTTATTGGATATAAAGAGTTTCTTGGACTCTCCTGCCCAGGCTGGCCATGATCCTCAGATTTCAGCCTCCTGAGTAGTTAGGATTACAGATGTGAGCCACCAGTGCCCGGCTTAGTTTTTACCTTTTTAAAAGAGTTACTATAAGCCGGGCGCTGGTGGCTCACGCCTGTAATCCTAGCTTCTCAGGAGGCTGAGATCTGAGGATCGCGGTTCAAAGCCAGCCTGGGCAGGAGAGACTGTGAGACTCTTATCTCCAATAAACCACCAGAAAACCGGAAGTGGCGCTGTAGCTCAAGTGGTAGAGCGCTCACCTTGAGCTGAAGAGCTGAGGGACAGCGCCCAGGCCCAGAGTTCAAGCCCCACGACCGACAAAAAAAAAAAAGAGTTACTATAAAAGTGATGTACAGGGCTGGGAATGTGGCATGCATGCAAGCACTCCATTCCATCCTCAGTACCACATAAGGAGAAAAAGCCAGAAGTGGCGCCGTGGCTCAAGTGATAGAGTGCTGGCTTTGTGCAAAAGAAGCTCAGGGGTAGCGCCCAGGCCCTGAGTTCAAGCCCCAGGAGTGCCCCTTCTCCCCTCAAAAAGTGATGTACAGAGGGGCTATAGTTACCTAAGTCAAGTAAGGAGTGCATTTCTGTTTGGACAACGTTACCCGTTCCCTCCCTCTCATCCAGGTTTTCCTTCCCACAGCCATCCACAAGTTGTACAGCTCATTTCAAGCCCCAGTTGAGGGGAAATAAGTTCAATTGAAAGCACTCACCGTTCTCCCTGACAGCCCTATCTTAGAACTGTCCTCGCTGCCGACTGGCTGAATCACCTCCCCATCCTGTCCCCCTAAACAAACGCACCCAGCAGTTATGGAAAAGAGAGCCTGAGACCAAGGCCACGTCTGGCGCCCAGGCCCTGGCGAACACAGACGCTGTGGAAACCCTGACACTCCGCAGTCAAACACGATCGCCCGCTCCCGCCGCCCCGCGCGGCCTGACCCTCTTTTCCTGCCTCTGTTTAAAGGGGCCCTCGATGTGAGGCGGTGCGCCGCCGCAGCCGTGTTTCCTGCCCAGTAAAGCCCGTTGGTCTGCCAAGTTTGCCTTTCAGCTCTTCATTCATACTCCCGCCACTCGAAATATTTTCTTACACCAGTAGCAGGACAACTGCTAGTAACGATAATGTCAGCTGCGTCGCCCGGGTAAGAAAGATGGCGCAATCCTCGGCCTCAGGAACGCGGAGGGAGGATCTGAAAACGATCGTTCCTTCCGTGCTAGGCATGAACCCCAGGCTCTGCTCCCAAGCACCCCTCCCCACCCCACGGAGCCCCCTTCCCAACCCTCAGCGCCCCGTGACCCGCGGCCCCGCGCGGCGCGCATCTCGCTGGAGCTCCCAGGCCCAGACCAGCCGGGGCCGCAGGAAGCCCGCGGTGCAGGGCCGCAGCTACCGTCCGGCGCTTCGGCCCGGTGCTGGGGAATGCAGGCTCGGGCAGGGCAGGGCCTTGTGTCAGCGCGCAGCATGCACAGTTCTCACTCCCGCACAGGACAAGCGTGTATGAAACACCCGTGGAAGGAAGGAGGAGGAGGGACCGCGGGCCAGCTTTCCCCGCCCCCTGCGGCCGTGCCCAACTCCCAGCGGAACTACAATTCCCAGCAGGCCTCGGGGCCGAGGCCGACCTAAGTCCCGCCTCCAGGCTCCCGGCGCGCCCTGCGAGCGCTGGCTCGGCGCGGCGCCCACCGGGACTTGTGGTCCGGCGTGGGTGGGGGTGGGGCCGGGCATGGAGGCGGGCGGGGGCCGGGGGCGGGCGCCGGCCCCTCCCCCGTCACTTCCTGCCGGGCTGCGGGCGCCGGAGCGGCTCATCAGCGTTTGCGCCGGCCGCGGCCGCGTCTCTCTCGGCTTCCCCGTTTCCTCGGACCCCCCCCCTTCCTCCCCCGGCCCGGCGGCGCCCGCCTCCTCCGCGGCCTCTCCGCCTCTTCCCCCACCGTCCCTTCCTCCTCTCCCTCTTCCTTCCTCCTTCCCCGCCTCGCCGCCGCCGCCGCCGCCCAGACCGCCGGCCGGGGGACGAGTCGGGGCAGCAGCCAGGTGAGGCGGCCGGGCCGGGCCGGGCCTGGCGGGGCCCGCGCGGGCGCCGCGGGAGGTGGGCGGCGGGTGGGCTAGGCCTCGGCGGGCCGCGCGGCCGGCCGCCGTCCCCCAGGCCTGTGTCGGCCCGCGGGGCCTTCCCGGAGGAGGCGGGTCCTCTCCGGCTCCGTCCGTGTCTGTGTGTCTGTCTCCGGGTCTCGCGCTCCCTTCGCGTGCCCCGCGTCGGGGCACCGGCTCCCCGCCACCTCTCTACTGGGGCCAGAAACAGGTGCCACGCCGCCTTTGCGCCCCGCTGCGTGCGGGGATGCCAAGTTACTCGCGGGGAGGCGGGAGGTGGCGGTGGTGGGCTGGCACCGCGCCTCGGTCCCCGGGTCGCCCACGCCTCCCCTGCCTGGCCCGGGTCGGCGGCTCGGTGCCCAGCGGGCCCGCGGCGTGCAGGTGCCGGACCCGGGTCCCGCGGGCGAGTCACGGAGAACTCTTTCAGCTGCGTCTGGGTTGGAAAGGGGAGCGAAGCCGTCGCTGCCGCCTCGGGCTGTCGGGGTTCTGTGGAACGGGGCGTGCACGGCGCTTATCAGAGCGCCAGACCCTCGGCGCGGCCCGGCCGGCCGCCTGCGTCGTCAGTGAGCGCGATACGGACGTGTGGTTGAGTGGGCGGCGTGGACCGAAGTTGACCGGCCTGCCCGTTTGGGTTTCCGCGCCCGGGCCCCCCGTCGCTGCGGCTAGCTTGCCGGGCGCGCACCCACTTCCGCAGTACGAGCGCCCGGGCCGTGTTTTCTTCCACCGTCCAACCTCTTGTTGTCGTTCCGTTTCTGGGAAAGTTCTTGGCAGGAACTCCTCCGGAGTCCAGCCGACCTTCCCCGGCCCTGTCTGTGTGGCAGGCCCCGGAGGAGCCGGAGGGAGGGGAGTGTATGCGATGGGGACACGGAAAACGTCCCTGAAGCCCCAGCAGCTCACCCCTCTGCGCTTTGCTGGTCGTTGCCTGAGTCCCTGTTGGCAGACTTTGCTTCTAAGCCCTTCCCCTACCTACCCCGTGTGGCCCTGTTGCTTATGTGTAAGTAGCTGCTTGGCCAAGATGTGTGCTTTCCTGGGTCAGCTCTGCCCCTCTCTCTCTCTCTCTCTCTCTCTCTCTCTCTCTCTGTTTTTTGTTTGGTCGTGGGCTTGAACTCTGGGCCTGGGCGCTGTCCCTCGGCTCTTCAGCTCAAGGCGATCGCTTGAGCCACAGCGCCACTTCCGGCTTTTTCTGCTTATATGGTGCTGAGGAATCGAACTCAGGGCTTCTTGCATGCAAGGCAAGTGCTGTACCACTGAGCCACCTTCCCGGCCCCAGCTCTAGCACTCTTATGGGGACTTTTTTTTTTTTTTAATATGGTCGTTCTTCCCCTTCTGCTTGTAGCCCTAATCATGGAGAGGGTGGTGGAAAGTGACATGTCAGGTTTTCCAGTGATCTAGGGTCTTTCAGAATCTCTGCCTACCAAATGCAGATTACCCTGCTACTTGTTGAAGAGAAAACTAAAAATACAGTTGGATGTGGAGGGGTACGTTTGGGCCATCCTGGTGACAGGGTGGGACTTTTAGGACTTTATTCAGAACTGAATTTCTTTTAGTTCTGGGCTTGATTCCATAGATGTACTCTTCTTCAAGGACAGGCAACTCCCAGATGTTAACATTTACAAAAGAGTAAACAGGGGCTTGCGTGTGCTGTGTGAATGACCAGTCTGTACCTTAGGGTCGTTTCAGGCAATAGATTTCCTGAATGAACTGACAGTGGTAGCGTTTTCTCACATTCATCTCTCAAGAATGCAAAATGACCTCTGTCTTTGACATTTTCCCAGAATTTTCAGACAGCAGTAGCAGCAGTAGTAGTAGTAATAGTAGTAGTAGTTCTCTTCTTTTTCTCTTTTTCTTTTTTTTTTTATTGTGAAAATACTGTACAGAGGGGTTACAATTACATGGGCAAGATAATGAATACATTTCTTATCAAGCATTGTAGCCTCCTCCTTTGTTTCCGCTTCCCATCCTTTCCCATCCTCCCCTGTCCCCCATCCAATCCCCCCCCCCACTTTTTCTCTTTTTGATACTGGTCTTGGGGCTTCAATTTAGGGCTTGGGCATTGTACCTGAGCTTTTGTGCTTAGGGCCAGCACTCTACTACTTGAGAGGTCTCCATTTCTGGCTCTTTGCTTGTTAATTGGAGATAAGAGTCTCAGGGACTTTGCTGCTGGAGCTGGCTTGGATAGGCCACCATCAGTGCTAAGCCTTTTGAGTAGCTAGGATTACAGGCGTGAGCCACTGGCACCTGGCCCATTTGAATTTTTTAGTAGCTTTTTAACAACCCTTAACTCTACCAGCAATGCAAAACACACCTTTTACTGCCATATCACACATTATGGGAAATGATATTTCAGTATTGTGATAGATAATTTAAAGTTAAATCTTTTAAATTTTATTATGGAAAAATATATCAAATTATACAGCAGACACTCTGTATTGGTCTCTCAACTTTGACAATTATTAACTGATAGCCAAGGTCAGTCTTTTACTTGTGCTACTCCCTCTCCCAAACTGGAGTATTTTGAAACAGACTCTAAACATATCATGATGTTAGCAGTTTTGATTTTCACCAGCTTGAATCAGGCTGCTAACGTGTCACAAAATTTAGTTTTGCACCGGGTGCTGGTGACTCACGCCTGTCATCCTCGCTACTCAGGAGGCAGAGATCTGAGGATCGTGGTTCAAAGCCAGCCCAGGCAGGAAAGTCCATGAGACTCTTGTCTCCAATAAACTATTAGGAAACCAGAAGTGGTACTGTGGCTCCAGCAGTAGAGCGCTCGCTTTGAGCTGAAGAGCTGAGGGATAGCACCCAAGCCCAGAGTTCAAGCCATACAACCGACAAAAATAAAAAGAAATTAAAAATATATTTTTGCTATACTCATTGTTTTATTAGCTGGACTTTTCTATTATTAGGAAAAATTACCAGGTAAATTAGCACTCTCTTTGGCAGTGTACTGGGGTTTGAACTCAGGGCCCTGGCACTTGCTAGCAGACATCTATCACTGAATTAGCTCTTGATTTTGTGCTATCCCCACCTCAGAGTCATACTCAAGGTTTGGCCTTGCTTTCTGAACAAAATCAACAATTCTTGAGCTATTAATGACTATAATTGAAAAATGATTTGCAAATACAAATATCTTTAGCCTTGATTTAGTAGAGACCTAACTCTTAAAGCCATTTTTACTAGAGATTAACTTAGTGCCAACATTATTAACTATAGTTAATAATTCATAGTGAAAACTTTCAAAGTTTCTGTACCGTAGTTGTGTAAATATATTCCTATCACCTTTGGTTAAGTATTAAGCAGAGGATATTTGATATAAAAATAGTCTGAGGGCGCTGGGAAGGTGCCTCGGTGGTAGAATGCTTGCCTTGCATGTATGAGGTCCTAGGTTTGAGTCCTCAGTGTCACATAAACAGAAAAGACCTGAAGTGGCGCTGTGGCTCAAGTGATAGAATGCTGTCCTTGAGTAAAAGAAGCTCAGGGACAGTGCCCAGACCCTGAGTTCAAGCCCTAGGACTGGCAAAAAAAAATCGTCTGAGCTGGGACTGACAGAGCGTGATTTTGGCACTCAAGAGGCCAAGGCAGGAGAAATACAAATTTGAGACCACTTCTTCCTTCCTGTCATCTGTTGTTAAATTGTTTTCCAAAGATCTCCCATTTGCTTTGTTTACAAACAACAGTTGTTATAAGTGAAATTTTGTGAATAGTGGAGAATCACAGCATAGTTCATATTTTTCTTGCCTGCAAAGAGGGTGTTGGGCCAGGTGCCAGTGGCTCACGCTTGTAATCCTAGCTATTCAGAGGTTGAGATCTGAGGATCGTGGTGCAAAGCCAGCCCAGGCAGGAAAGTCTGTGAGACTCTTATCTCCAATAAGCCACCAGAAAACTGGCAGTGGCACTGTGGCTTAAGTGGTAAAGTGTTGGGCTTGAGCTGAAGAGCTCATGGATAGCACCAGGCCCAGACCAACCAAAAAAGTCTACTAGAATACAAGAATTTATAAATGTTTGCAGTTGCTACTTAGTCTTCAAAACTTCTGTTGGTGAACAGTTTCTAGTGTTTATATCTGTAACATTGTTATGTCAATTCTGTAGATTTACTTTTGAGCTTGATCAGATATCTTGGAAATGTTATACTTTCTCCTTTAGTTTTATAACCTGGGAGTGACTGAGTGGAAGGAAATAACAGGGGAAAGCTGGGCGCCAGTGGCTTATGCCTGTAATCCTAGTTATTCAGGAGGCTGAGATCTGAGGATCCCGGTTCAAAGCCAGCCCAGGCAGGAAAGTCCGTGAGACTCTTATCTCCAATTAACCACTCAGAAAACCAGAAGTGGCTCTGTGGTTCAAGTGGTAGAGCACTCGCCTTGAGCTAAAGAGCTGAGGGACAGTACCAGGCCTAGAGTTCAAGCCCCATGACCGACAAAAACAACTTAGGGGAAACCCCACAGTATCTAGAGAGGGCATAAAATACATTTTAACCAGAAACAGTGCTTATTGTTTTTCCCCTAGACTTAAAGGAAAACTTTTTTTTTTTTGCCTGTACTGGGGCTTGAACTCAGGGCCTGGGGATGCTGTCCCTGAGCTTCTTTTTTTTTTTTTTCCCTGAGCTTCTTTTACTCAAGGCTAGCTCTCTACCACTTGAGCTACAGTGCCGCTTGTGGCTTTTTCTATTTATGTGGCACTGAGGAATTGAACTGAGGGCGTCATGCATGCTGGGCGAGCACTCTAGCACTAGGTCACATTCCCAGCCTGGGAAACCTTTTTTAAGCACTCAGATTAAACTAGACAGCCCATTTATATATAAATTACATTAGGTTCAGAAGTAAACTTGCCCCATAGTTCTGAAGCCCACACCATCAGTATTATTACAGGTGTAATCATTCAAATCATACTTCGTCTGGAGTTGCCCACAGAAATATATAATTCACATGTGAATCAGTTTGTAGGCATCT